GGGGGCCTTGCAATTCCTCCTGGTTCCCCCTGCGGGACGGCCCTCAGGGACCGGTGCCCCTGCCTGGGACCTGGACCGGGACCCAATCTCTAGACAACGGGGCAGAGCTGGGAGAGCCGGGAGCAGGTCGCCGATGCCGGGTTCCTAACATGTCAGTTCAGGAAGAAGACTGAGCCAACGTTTCTCAAATGCGTCTGAGGAACAACATGCATTGGTGGATGGGGGGGACCCAGAGCCATGGAGGCCGGGGACGAGGAAAGCTTAAAAAAAGGTAAAAAATGTTTTCAAATTCAAGGTAATATTCCTCTTATGCCCTTGTGTGACCGTCAGGGACGCGGTTTTGTGTGACCATCAGGAACGCGGTTTTGTGTGACCGTCAGGGACGCGGTTTTGTGTGACCATCAGGTATGTGGTTTTGTGTGACCATCAGGGACGCGGTTTTGTGTGACCATCAGGGACGCGGTTTTGTGTGACCATCAGGGACATAGTTTTGTGTGACTGGCAGGTATGTGGTACGTTTTGTAGCAAATAAGATGTCAAGACAATGAATGCGGTCACCATTGACCATGGGCAGATCCATGGCAATGAGCTGGACGTTGTTTGGTTTTGCTATGAGCACATCCGGGACGCGGTTTTGTGTGACCGTCAGGGACGCGGTTTCAGGGACGCGGTTTTGTGTGACCGTCAGGGATGCGGTTTTGTGTGACCATCAGGTATGTGGTTTTGTGTGACCATCAGGGACGCGGTTTTGTGTGACCATCAGGGACATAGTTTTGTGTGACTGGCAGGTATGTGGTTTTTGTGTGACCATCAGGAATGTGGTTTTGTGTGACTGGCAGGGACATGGTTTTGGGAACCTGTGTTATTGCCACGACAAATCTCAGCTCACACCATCACATCAGCCCTGTCTCTGCGGCTGATGAAGACACACGTCGCGGGGTCTAGAATGAAGCCCTCTCCCGATGCATGTGTCCCCGGAAGACACCTTATACACGCGGTTCACACGCTCTCGGCCAAGCATGTCAGACTTCGTTTATCTGGCCCGCGTTAGCCTTTGAGTTTGACATGCGTGCTCCGGGCGCAGTGACGGTGAGATAACAACAGGCAGGGAGGATCTTAAAGCTCCTTGTGCATAATCCTTATGGAAAGTATCCCACAGGCCTCTGCTCCCTCATCTTCACCGACCAGAAAAGCGTTACCATCATGGCACCGTCCACCTCACATGGCGGGCCACACCGACTCAGCGGGTTCATTTCTAATTCACGTGGTGGGTGACGCGGGTGCTGGGGTTCTGCAGGCGCTGTGGGCACCACACTGCTGGGCCGCCCGTGGGCAGGGCGGGTGCATGCGCGTGACGGCGCTGTCCTCACCAGTCAATCCCCTTGTGGTAGTTGTTCCCGTTGAAGAACTGCACCTC